GTGACTTATCAAATGGAGATTTAGGGCATTTGCAAATGCTTGAACACTAATTAGAGCTGGAGTCCGACCAACAAACTAAAGATGCCCTTGGAACGCTACAGTCCTTCCTTTTACCAGATGAGATATCAAACAGTTCACACTTGCGGCTCTGCTAAATTATTTCTTCTGAGAACACAAAGCCCGTATATGGTTTTACACTCTATTCCTAAAACACTGGGAAATGTCTCCTTTTTGTTCTCAGAGAGAAGGGTAGATGCTCATTCCTTTAGAATTTGACTGTTTCAGGACTTTAGGGGTCTCCCAGATCACCATGTGGGCATCTCAGCGTTGTGGTACCAACCCTCTGAGACCGCTCTTGCTGCTCCAGAACTTGTGCGGGAAATGTCCAGGTGAGCAGAGACAGCAGCACTTAAGTTCCCTGCGGACAAATTCTGTCTGTCTCAACGCACCCTTCACAGCCATGCCCGGGCCCCTGGAAGGAGCATTCTCTCCAGGCCTTCCTCCAAGCCCAGTGACACCATGTGCTCATTTTCCACTGAAAGACGTTTTAGTGAGAAGTGACAGGAGAAAGTCCCATAGCTGCGCAGACGCCGGACTGGGGCTTCCAATCCCGGCAGCTACCCTCTCCCATCTGGCAGATTTCACAATCACAAAATATTCTGCCCCTGTTTATAAGTCACCTTCATTTCATAGCTGATGTCATTTTTCAAAAGCACTCTGGTTTGGTCCGGTTGTTGACCCTGCGCATCACGTCCAAAAGAATCACTATTGTCCCTGGAGCCATAGTTCTTAACTTGATTCGTGAGAAGCACGTGTGGAATTCTTAAAATTTCTCACACAGAGGCCGCACTCTAGACCGATGACACCCTGATCTCTAGCGGTGGGATCCAAGCCTCGGTGTTTTATAGTTTCCCAAGTGCAGACAACAGAGAAAACCAGTGCCTGAGGAGATTTCAACAAGTCATTGTATTCCTTTTGAGGACAGCTCATGTGTCCTGCAGTCTCGTCAGAGAGGCTGAAGACAGCAGCTATTTTCTCTGGACACCTGCTGTGATACAGCCAAGAAAGGTCCTCGCGGGGATCAATGCCTGGGTGGCAGTTGCCAAATGCTGCTTGGTTACCATTACCAGACCACAAGCCACACAGCACGTGGGTTGCAAAGGACCACAGATTACAATGAGAAGCCACATATAGGAAGGACTCTTCCCGAGTCCCTCTGCTTGTCTTTCAGTCTGGTGTTTTTATGCATATCGAGATGAACTAAATCGTCTCACTCCCTTATCTCCTCCTGCACACCTCAGACGAGCTCTGGATTGAACACCTTAGTTCTAAGAACAAATACATCCCTGAATGACAGCTGAGAATGGGCTTTCCAGTACAGGATAGCGTGGATCTTAAATGGTTCATTTAATCCTCAGACGCTATCAGTATATTCTAAAGTATTGGCTTTTCCGTGGCCTTTTACACAGTTTATAGACGAGGTGGGACAGAGAAACCCCTCCCAAAGCTTCAGCCCAGGAATCTGGGAGACTGTGGGAGACCCGGAGCCTTGTGGGAGATTCTGGAGCCACTCTCAGAGCGATCTGCACCAAAACTTTAGAGATTTTCCAGGTTAGGAGAGACTAAAGGTTATTGTGCAGGATAAATCCGGGGTTGGGGAGGAGGCGCTGTAGCTGCGGCTGCCTCCAAACTCAGACGCGCAGGCTTCATCTTTGCAAATTCTGTTCCTGTTTTCCGTAGCGGGTGGGGCGGGCGGAGCCCCGGGCTTTGTCTGTGAGTGCGACGGCCTGGGGGAATGAGTTGTAATTACTTGAGCCTGGGGGCAAGTATCTGTTACTTCATTTTGCCGGTTTTGTTGATTGTGGATCAACAAAATGACGGTCTCTCTTAGAATAATACAATAAGAAACTGTAACTCTGGAGTTAGGGCACCTGGCAGGGGCTAAAATGTGAAATCCAGTCCCTTCCCCACCTAGTTGGACAGCTTTAGCAAGTTGGATCCACAATATATAAAATAACAATATATCTGAATCCAGTGTTATTTATCCCAGAAGAGTAAAGTAGGCTTAATACTCAAAATCAATGTGATTTATTATTTCAACAGACTAAAAAGAAAAATCATATGATCTTACTAAAAAAAGCAGACAAAACATTTGGCAAAGTCCACTTTCATTCCTGACACAAACTCTCAGCAAATTAGGAAAAGAAGGAAACTTCCTCAACCTGATAAAGGGAAGCTATGAAGAACCTCACAGTTAATGATACAAGACAGAATGTTTTCCCTGTAAGACTGGGAGCAAAATGTAGGCATCTGCTTTCATCACTTTTGTTCAACATTGTTCTGGGGATTCTTGCCCAATCAATAATGGAAAAAAATTGAAACGAAGGCATCCGGCTTTAAACAAACAAGTATTTTTTATTCCAAGAAAATGTGAAAGGCTATGTGAAAATCCTACAGAATCTACAGAAAGCTGTAATAAGTGAATTTAGCAAAGTTGTTGGATACAAGGTAAATATTAAAACTAATTGCATTACTACTGTTTATACTACATCTACATATGTATAATTATACCTAGCAATGAACAATCAGAAATTGAAAATTTAAAAAGCAATTCAATTTACAACAGAATAATTAAATATGAAATACTTAGGGATAAAATATGTCCAAGATTTGTACACACACACAAATGCTGAGATGGATGAAAACCTAAATACAAGGAAAATCTTTTCACATTTGTAAATGAGAAGACTCAATATTGTTAAGATATAAATTACCCCTAAATTGATTTACAGATTCAGTGTAACCCTAATCAAAATAACAGCAAGATTTGGTTTTTATTTATTTTTTAAGACAAGTTTTTTTTTTAAATTTTAAAGAATACTTATTTTAGTAATCTCTACACCCAGTGGGCTTGAACCCACAACCCCATTATCAAGAGTCACTTGCCTTCCAACTGAGCCAGCCAGGCACCCTTGGTTCTATTTTGTTTTTAGAAATTGACCAGCTGATTCCAAAAATTCACATGGAAATTCAAAGACATAGCATGCCAAAAACAACTTTAAAAAGACCAATAAAGTTGGAGCAAAGTCACTCTGCCTGGCATCCAGATTAAAAGCTACTATAATCAAGACTATAGTATTGGCATTAAAATATGAAAAATAGATCTATGGAACAGGAGTACAGAGACAGAACCACAAATAATATTATCAATTGATGGTTGACAAAGTTTCAAAGGCAATTCTGTAGAGAAAGGTGACCGTTTCAAATTTATTTTTTATTAAATTTTTAAAATTTTAATTCCAGCATGGTTAATATACAGCATTATATTAGTTTCAGGTGTACAATATAGTGATTTAACAATTCTATACATTACTGAGTGCTCATGATAAATGTGCTGTTTAGAAAGGTAGTCTTTTCAACAAATGTTAAAAAAACAATTTTGATCCTTACTTCACATAAAAAATGAACTCAAAATGGATCATAAATCTAAACCACAAAATATTTAGAATGAAATCTTTGTCACCTTGCATCGGGGAAAGATTTTTTTTTTAGATGCAACACCACAAGCATGATCCATAAAAGAGAAACATGATTAATTGTACTTCAACAAAATTAGAAAACTTTGCCCTTCAAAAGTCACCGTTGGGGTATTGAGAAGACCAGCCACACAGTGGGACATGACAGTTGCACCCTCAGTCTTTAAGGATGATTTTGCCTCCAGTGTCCAAGGGGACATTGATAATGTCTGGAAACATTTTCAGTTTTCATAACTGGGACAATATTACTGATATCCTGTCATAACTGGGACAATACTACTGCTACTAAACATCCTACAATACACATGACCCCCAACCCCCGCAGTAAAGATTTATCCAGTCTAAAATGTCATCATTGTTGAGGTTGACTAGAGTAAGAAGCCACATGGACAGTCTGAACTCTTGCCTCCTTTAGGGCACAGGCCAGTCAGGTTCCATCACCTTTACTAGAATGAGCCCATTACTCCTTGAAGTCTTGAGGAGGGGACCGTGCCTGAACATAAATCTGTAAGCAATATGTATTCAAATCTGTATATATGTATCCAAATCATGCCCAATTCACCCTCTGGGTACCAAAGGCTGTACACATACATGGGGCAGGAAAGGCATTGCCCTCAAAGGACAGAAAGTGAGAATGTTTCTTAAAGAGCTATAATTCTGACTTCAAACCCATCCTAGGACTCTTTTCGGGTTAGGTGGGAGTCCGGGTGTTTTTCCTTGCCTGACTAAGACTGGTTATTGAATCACTTCCCTGACCTGGTGAGCAGCCGCCTCCTTCAATGATTATCTTTGTGCCTAACACACATCTTTGCTGTCCTTATGGTGAGCTTGGAGGGAGAGGCAGAAAGGGAGGGAGGCAGGGAAAGGGGTGATGTAGTAGCTGTGTGGACACCAGAGGCAAGTGGAAAGGGAAATAAGAAGGAACACCCTATAGGTGACCCATTAGGGGTCTGGGAGGAAGCACCAGGTACCACGTTGGATGCTCGGTTCGACTGTCTGAATTTGTTACTTCAGTTCTGAGTAGGATTGCCGAATTTTTTCGAGTTAACTCTTAGGAGCAAACGGTGAGACAAAGGCTCACTTCATTCCCTGATCCCCTCTATGCCCCACTTTAACTTCTACTGCGCTTTCAAGGTTATGTGAAGATTCCAAAGCTATCTCCACTCTCTAGAGTGCTCCAGGTTAAATGCCATCTCTTCGGCAAGCAACACCTATTCTCTCCCTTAAACAGAAGGGAGGTCGAGGATCCGGAGGAGTGTGTCTTCTAGAGATCCGCTTGACTTACGAGCTCCACGCCTGTAAACTGAGTCATTCATTCACTAGTCGCATTCCGTCAGTCTAGAGACGAGTGTTCAGAAAATTCAGATACTGCGTTTTGAGATTTGGCCAAATCCCGCAGGAATCTACACTTTTATTTGAAGGGAAAATGAAGGCTATGACTACTTAAGATTAGAAACAAAACCCTGGCAGCGGTGGGATTCGAACCCACGCCCCCGAAGAGACTGGAGCCTAAATCCAGCGCCTTAAACCGCTCGGCCACGCTACCAAACCTACAGGGGAGTTTTGCCTACACTTCCTAGCTATATCTTTCTGCTAGTTTTTCAGCGTTGTCTTCTGAACCCCCAACCTGACACCAAGAGTGTAGATATTGCCAAAGGACCCTACGGAAGAAATTCTTCCCTTCCTCCTCCGCTCCATTGGACCCAACTTGGGTCCGCCCAACCGGAACAGCTCTTCTCACTCCAGAAACTGAAAGGAAAGTTCTTTAAAACTATCCGCTCCGGAAGCGAAGCCCTTGGGATCCAGAACGTAAGCGCACTCCGAAGTCAGGGGTCGGGTCAGCTTCCTCCTGGCGCCCAGTAAGCGCTCAACAAGTATTTACGCCACTGAGGAATGAATTCCTTTTGTCTCCAGATAGCTTTGGGGTGGGGGTAGGGGGTAGGGGGTAAAAGGTCGTGCTGGGCTAGTAAAGAAGACCAAAGTTGAAGTCAGCGCTAAATTTTGAGTTAGATACTTTTCAGTTCCGTAGCCAGAAAAGAAGTCTTGGCCCTCCAGGTAGCGTGGGACGTGAGTTAAAAGGATCAAGAAAAAAGCTTGACTGCTGGTTCCCTTTTGCTCTTTGAGACCCAACCTCAGAGAGGCGGTGCCAGTCTATGCCCGCTCCCTAGTTTTGGCGGAGCGGAGTCTGCAGAGGCTTGCTCCCCGGATTCCGCTTGGTGGAAGAGGAGAAGCCTGTCTCAGGGTGGATGGATTCCTGCGGCTGGGAAGCCTTCAGTACCTTTCTTTAGAACCTATAAGGCTTCCTCGCAGAGAGGTTCCCTTTCTCCTGCGCAGTTGTAGCCTCTTGGCGGCTGTTACTACTGGCGACTGGGGAAGGGGATGGCAGAAGCCCTCACCTGGGGACAGAGCCCAGACTCTGAGCCCACACTGGTGCTCCTAGCACCTAGTATTCCTGAGAATTCAGCGTACTCCCGCTGCTCATCCTCCCCAGAATCCCAAGCCTGCTGGTCCCGGGTGAGGAGCACGAGCGCAAGGCCTGAATGGAGGAGAAAACTAGATTCTCACCTCTTCTCCTCTTGATACAGAGAATAGTAGTCACACCTCAGTTCTCCATACCTGAGCGTTTCTTAGGTCCCACCAAACTTGGATTTTCATGCACCTTATATGAAAAGAATTCTTGCTCTTTTTGACTGCAACCAAGTGGAAATTACAGAACGCCAATATGCTGATGTGCCTCTTTTGCTAGCGTGTGACAGTAACAGAAAATTTAATTCACAATTAGTACCTAGACTTCAGAGAAAAACAGGTGCCTTTGAGATCCTGCAACTCTGCTCCGTATTCAGAGAAAACTACCAAATTATAAATACAGTTTTCTATTTCTCCGTAGTTCTGTCAACTTATGGTTCTTATATATATTATTCTTTTAAAAAAAAAGATTTTATCTATTTGTCAGAGACAGAGAGAGAGCACAAAGAGGGGGAGCGGCAGGCAGAGGGAGAGGGCAAAGCAGGCTTCTCGCTGAGCAAGGAACCCTATGCACAACTCAATCCAGGACCCTGGGATCTTGACTCAAGCTTTCCCAGAGCCTAAGGCAGATACCTAACAGACTGAGCCACCCAGGCATCCCTTATATATATCTTATTCTTACAGTGCTTCTTCTATTTGCTTTTTTTATTATGTTTTTATCTTATAAAACCTGTATCTTTTTATCTTTACATCTTATAGCAAGCTGTGTTATTAGATACATAGAAATTCAGGAATATTGTGGGGTTTTAAAAGAGAATTTATTTGTTAGGACAGGTTCAGGTTCATAGCAAAATTGAGTAGAAAGTACAAAGAATTCCCATATACCTCCTGCTCCCACATATGCACAGCTTTCTCTGCTATAACATCCCACACCAGAGTGGTATATTTGTTACAATCGATGAACTAACACTGACACATCATTCTCACACAAAACCGTAGTTTACATTAGGGACTCTTGTGGTTTCATGTGAATTTTAGGATTGTTTGTTTCTATCTCTGTAAAGAATGACACTGGAATTTTGATAGGGATTGCCTTGAATCTGTAGATCATTTTGGGTCGTTTGGACCCAAAACTGTGGGTCCAATAAAAACTGTTAAACAGCTTTAATTCTTCCAATCCATGGACACCAGATGTCTATTTATCTGTGTCTTTTTAGTTTCTTTCATTAATGCTTTATAATTTTCAGTGTATAAGTCTTTTACATCTTAAGTACATGAATACATATGTCTATAAATAACAATTTTCCTGTAACTTAAGAATTGATTCTCTTTTATCACAAAGAATACTTCTGTTTCGTCTCCCTCATGACAGCATATCAAGTATTAGAACATGGTGATGATGTCCCTCAAATTTTCTCTTTTGCATATGTAAGATCTTCAGTTCCATTAAACATTCTTCCTCTAATGTGCTAGCCAGCCAGCCAGCCTCTCAGTCCTCTGCATTCCTGGTGGTTCACCAGGGCATATGCCTGAGAACAGTACTTACAAAATCATCCTGATAAAACAGGTGGACAGTCGTGAGCTGTGTAAGGAGGAAGAAATCAAAGTCAAAAGGACGATAGTGGAAGGTCTGAACAGAGGTAGCAGGAGAAAGCTTTTACAGAGACCAAAGTAATCTTCAGGTGACATTTAAAGGAGCTATGGAAAGCAGAATAAGTCAGCAAGAATTCCTGGTCACCAGGCAAGAGTTTGCAGGGTAGGCTTGACTTTTCAATTCTTAAAAGATTTCTTTTAGAAGACAAACAATCAACTTTTGTAGAGCCAGCTGAAACCCTTCCCCAGCCTGTTCATGGAGCCAGTGGCTCAAGGACAGCTGTACAATAAGCAATATTGTCCCCCTCCTCTTGCTGAGCTATCTAGGGATCCCACATTTCCCTACTCTGTGTTTAGGATGCTGCAAGGTTTGAATCTCTTAATAGATGGGACAGAACAGTCCTACAAGTTTGTTGGGTCCAAAATGCGGGTAAGGGGCACTGGTGAAATGTAGAAATGAAGTCTTAGGGAGTCACTATTGTTTTTAGTGTCACAAGGTTGGATCTTACAGGTTTGAACCTTGGCCCTCCAGTGCCCAAAGTGAGAATCCTTTCATGAGCCCAAGGCCTGAACAGCACATCTTTTGAAGGACATGCATTTTCATTGCAACCCATCCCAGGCAGTTTCTGGGAAGTCTTGTGATGTTCTTTATATACTTTTATTACTCTGATCCCCTTATTACCCAGTCTTAGTTTCCTCATACTCTGTTAAAAACGTGAAATCTCTTGCTCCAATCCTGCAGTTAAGCTCACCCTATTTGGGATTGAAGAGCATTCCATCTTGGCCTTAGAAAATCAGAGTCTTACAGAAGCTGTGAGTCCAAGAAACCTCCTTTTAGCATCCCAGTACCCTATCCTACTTGCCAAGACCTGAGAGCATCCAGATGTGGCTCAGACCACACCCAGTGCTGCTCAGTTTAAAGAAAAGCCAAAAGACGGGTGGCACTTGTCATCCACTTGGCAGGACAGAGTGAGACTTTTCTTCGTGGAAAGTGTGTTTCCTTGGGAATCTGAAACCATGTGCTGGCTGGAGAAAGGAGGTCGGACATTTTCTGGAGGAAAACCAGCTCTACAGGGGCTGAATGCACATGCCATGTCAAACTGATTCTACCTAGTGTTTATCTGAGGATATTGCCTTAGAGATTCTCACTCTCAACAGGTAACCACAGGTTTATGTTTAGGTAATTCCTCCCCTTTTCTGTGGAGATACTCTGTGTGCTGGTATCTGGCACACCATTTAGTGACAACATACACAGGAGACCTGGCTCCTGAATTCAGACTGGTTTCCTAGAGTTTACACTTAAACTGAATGAGACCTGGAAGGTCCTTGGAGATTTTTAGTTCTTGTTTACCAAGAACTTCAGGAACTGGAAACTAAAAGATTCCTGGTATTCCAGATTTCTGTGGGTTGAAATCTCCTTTTTTTCCTCTACTCTTGCCTCTGCATTTGTTTGCTCTCCATTTCTAATACTTATTCATGCCCTGATATGGGCTGATCACTTTGTTAGGTATTTGGAGACTAAGAAGTATGAATCATACAACCTTCCCCTCAAGTTGCTAAGGAATAAGCTGAGGACACAACACTTAATGCATATGATTCTTAAAACAAAATAAACTTAGTAGTCTATAGCTAAGTGCACTAGAATGTCCTACCCTTTTCCTTTGCCTTCTCTTTCTTTGTGTCTTTTGTAGCATTTTCAAAAAGTTGGACATAGGTGGGGCGCCTGGCTGGCTAGGTTGGTGGAACATGTGACTCTTGATCTCAGGGTTGGGAGTTCAAGCCTCACACTGGGTGTAGAGATTACTTAAAAATAAAATGTTAAAAAAAAAAAAAGATGGGCATAGGAATAGATAGGAAACCATAATTTAGAAGTAACTCTGGAACATTGAAAAATAAAATTAAAATGTGTGTTATCTTTTGACACTCTTTCATATAAGATGAAGAAATATGGGAAGGAAAACAGAACAATTTGACAATTTCATAAACAATTGAATATATGTTGAAGGGGTAATGTTATTCTGGGTGCTTATGTCTAGGTATCATGGGTCACCTCCATTGTATCTGTCCTGTTCAGTATCTTTTTTTTTTTTTTTCCTGTTCAGTATCTTAAGAGTGGGAGTGAAGAGGAAGGAATGGCAAGGATAAAAAAATGTATCATGGATTTCAGAGGAAAGAAGAGATTAAATCTACTCCATAAATAGTGAAGGCATTGTGAATTATAAGAACATCGAGATGGTTTTCCAGATAAGTAGTGTTTGACAGGTATGGTGAAATGAGAAATCATTCTAGTTGATGAAGCAAATGATCACAACTGAAAAAGGTGTGAGTTCTGTTTGCGGAATTATAAGTGGATCAAGTTGACTAGAACAAAGATCTGTTGGCAGTATACAGCTGTCATTTGGGAAATGTTGATCTAAATATTAGAAGATAAAAGCAGTAAGGTAGAGAGGCACATACTGAGAGTACATTAGTGTAGTTAAGAGTCTT